GACAAACAGAATTCCTAAAACACAGACCAGGCTAGGAAGCTGATAGACTTTTTGCCACTGATCTGGTAGCTTTCAAGGCTCCAGCTGGCCCCTAGGCCCTTTACCCTGGAATTCAAGAACTAGAAAATGTAAACACTGCATTTCCCTCTCCTTTAAAAAAAGAAAGAAAGAAAAGAAAAGAAAAAAGAGGGGAGGGAGCTGGGCTCTTGGGACTTTCAAATATCCCCAAGTGAGGGTGACAGGTCCTCCTACATCTGGGGGTAAGTGGGGCACAAACTTCCCTCATTTATCACTGACATGGCGCCTCCCCCAATCTGCACACACAACAAATCAATCGCAGCTTCTAGGCTGGTCTCAGGGGAGGCAGGTTTCTCTGGCAAGTTTCTCTGGCATGGGGACTGGCCGCCCCAGTGGGACAGGTGGAAATAATTTTGACTTAAGGCCAGTCATTAGATCCCCCGACACCATTATCTCAGCCATTTCTGTCTCACCAGTGTAACTCAGATGTAGGTAAGTTTAAATCAGACCCTTAGTCCATGCCAGTGGTATTCCAAAGCCCTCCCTAAGACTTCTGGATACTTTGGAGAGACTCAGTGCTTTACGTCACCTCTGTGTCTGGGCTCCCAGGTCCAAAGATGCTTGGTCCCCAGCTTATCGGCCCAGAGAGACTCCCCAGCCTCATCCTCTGTTTCCATCAAAATCTCACGCTCAAGGACGCTCATGGGAATAAAACACTTTACTGAAGAGTTAGTGGTCACTGAGTTCTACAAGTTCTACAAGACCCACAAGTTTATATTCACATCCCTTCTTTTAAAAGTCCTGTGAAGGGCACCTAGGTGGCTCAGTAGGTTGAGCACCCAACTTCTGTTCAGGTCATGATCTCACAGTCCATGAGTTCGAGCCCCACGTTGGGATCTGTGCTGACAGCTCAGAGCCTGAAGCCTGGGTCAGATTCTAGGTCTCCCTCTCTCTCTGACCCTCCCCCTCACCCCCACCCCTCGTGGTCTGTCTCTGTCTCAAGAATAAATAAAAACATCAAAAATAAAATAAGAGTCCTCTCAAGCTACTCAGTCCTCTTGTGTGTTTCTCCCCATCCAGCACCCAGCCCTCTGCCTTCTGGCTTCCACTCTCCCTTTACACCCTGCCCCTCTCAGGAACAGCAGTCAAAATCTCACTTGCCAGTAGGGAGTAGCCAGTAACATATATGTGGGTTGAACAGGTGGGGTGTCTGGCAATAGAGAGGACCAACCTACCTCAAAGCATTCAGGTTCAACACATTTTATTTTATTTTTACTTCTTTTTTAATGTTCTATTCATTTCTGAGAGAGAGAGAGACATCGTGAGTAGGGGAGGGCCAGAGAGAGAAGGAGGCACAGAATCCAAAACAGGCCCCAGGCTCTGAGCCAGCTGTCAGCACAGAGCCCGATGCAGGGCCCAAAACCCATGAACCATGAGACCATGACCTGAGCCGAAGTCGAACACTCAACCAACTGAGCCACCCAGGCGCCCCCAGGTTCAACACATGTTAAGCGTGGTGTCCTACTAAATACTTTTGCAGGCATTCTGACCCACAGACTACCAGACCTTCAGCTCTACAGTCTCCCTCTTTGCCACAGCCACCCAGGGTCACCGAAACTGGAGCTAGCAAGGACTTTCCCTTATAATGTGTGTCCTGAAGCCATGCCAAACAGAGACATGCATCGGCATAATTAATCCATCCATTAGATGCGTGAGTTTAAGTCGGCCAGGTACCAGGTGAGCATGAGCTCAGGAATTAGACAGTCTGGGCTCACCCTGGGCACCACTCATCGGCCTGTATATTCTTTGTCTTTTCTATCATTATTGCAGCAAAATATAAGTTAATGAAAAATTTACCATTTGAATCACTTTTAAGTGTTCCAATCAGTATCTCGTGCAAGAAACCCCACTATTCTTCTCCAGAACGTTTTCATGCTGCACACCCACTAAACATGAACTCGCCCAACCCTCCTCCCCCCAGCCCCTGCTGACCACTGTTCTACTTTCTTGATGGAACTCACTGTTCTGTGCACCTTATAGGAGTAAAATCACACAGTATTTATTTGTCCTTTGTGTCTGGCTTCTTTCACTTAGCATATAACATCTTCAAAGCTCATCCCTGCTATAGCCTGTATGAGCGCTTCATTCCTTAAGGCTGAATAATATTCTGGTGTGTGTAGATACTACGCTGTGTCCATGGATGGACATTTGGAGTTGTTTCCACTTTTCGGTTGTTGGAGACAATGCTGGGAGGGACACTGGTGGACAAATACCTGCTCAAGTCCCCACTTTCATTTCTTTTGTGTATATACCCAGAAACGGAATTGCTAAGTCAAATGGTTAGGTGTTTTTTGAGAAACCAAGCCAGTGTATCCTTGAACAGGTCACAGAGCCTCTCTAAACCCCGTTTGTAAAATGAGGATAATAATAGCCTCTACCTTAATATGGCGGTCTGAGAATTCATGCATGTACAGCATTTGGCTCAAAGACTGGGCACAACATAAATGTCCACAGACGTTTCCTCACACTGTCCTCTGAAATTAAGGGACTCTACGTGATCTCCAACGTCACTCCCAGCTCCAAAAATCCATGAGCCCACCATCAAATTATTTTCCCAGTGGAGAAGCCAGAGCACTCAGTTATAGATCAGGGGAGCACCGTCTTCATGGTCCCCACAAAAATCCACCCCGGCCAAGATGACCCAATTTCCAGAGCTCTCTCCTTGGAATTTGCTAACACATCCCCTTATAAACCAACCTCTAATTTTTCTTGCCACTCCTTCCCCCTTGCTTTCTTTCCACATTCCCTTTCTCAGCTGGCTGCTCCTGCCCACTGAGTATCTGGGCTTCAAATTATCTTCCCCGGTTGCCTCTATGTTCATTCCCCGCAAGCTAATGTCTGTTGGAAGCAACACTTGCAAAATTATCCATATTAAGGTTTCGTTCCCAAGAGTCACATATTTTATATGAGTTTTTCCTCCGAGGCAGAAGCCTGCTGGCAGAGCTACTGCTGTCTGGTGAAGTCAGTGGAGTCAGATTTCTCCCCCACATGCTGTTTATGTTGGGTTATCACTTGGCCTAATGTTTGCATTCTCATGCTCCAGCACGTGTCCCGTGCCGATGAGCCACAACAGCCTCCTGTGCCATCCCAGGGGATGTTGACAGTTCATCAAACACTCATTTTAGAAAAGGAATTAGAGGAAGTCTGCTTCCAGGCTCTTCTAGACGGGGCCAGATTCAGCATTCCAGCCGGGAGTGGACTCGCTCACTAGTTGAAGGATTATTTCCCTTCTCCACTCTATTCCTCCATCTCCCCTCTGAAAGTGGACGTTCAACAAACCGAAATAGCCTCCCTAGACACGTGAGGCTGCTGGAGGTTGCTACGGGGTTCAGTCAGCAGCCAGTCTGCCAGGACAACCACACACCCTTCCCGAAGCTTTTCCATAGCAAAAGGTAAATTAGATTCTCAGGTCAGGAGTAAATGGGGGTTCTGTGTTGTTGCTGTTTTTTTTCCCAAATCCTGGGCAAGAAGAGAGGGGCAACTGACCTTTCCTTTTTAACTTGCATAGGTTTGAGCCATCTCCCCTGCCGCAGTACAAAAAAGGAAGCGGGATTGATGTAGCCATGAGGAATGAGTCCTCGGAGCCCTGGAGCTCTGGGAAGGGACCAGCCTCCGCTGGAGCTGGGTAGGGCCACCAAAGGGCAGAGCCGAACAGGGAGGAATCCTAATGCAAAGTTGTATTACCCCTTGGCAAGCACTTGTGTTTATGGATTATCAGGCCCCTTGGGGCTCCTTCTTCCTTCAATATTTATCATCGTAGGGCTACTCCAGATGCCACTGAGGCAGAACTCAAATGAAGCACCCCCGCTGGAGAGCAGAGCACCAAGGAAGATTTCACCTGGGGCCAGTGGAGTCCCTTGTCTATACAGCAGGCTACTGACTTTATGCCCTCAGCACCCCACTTAACCTGATTTGTTCTCGGACACTCACCAGCTACCTGCAGCAGTAGGGCACCCGCCTCTTAAGTAGACCATAGGTGACAAGTACCCAGCAAGGTGACAGGTAACCGGCACAGAAGGCGTGCGCTAGAGGCTCACACACTCCCTGCTCCTACCAAAGCTGCTCTGTTTTGTCACATCTGCACATGTCAGCCTGCCCTTCCTTCAGGAGGTCTCATCTGCCTCCTGACACCCTGCCCTGCTCCAGCCAGGAAGGGACAGATGCTCACCAGAAGCCTCTGCTTCTCTGCCTGCCCCCGAGCAGTTACAAGACAAGAATGCCTTTCCCTCCCTGGGCCAAGCGGCCCCCAGGAGCTCAGAGTCACATCGCAGCCTCACTTACCCTGGGAGCCCATTTGACACGGGGTTTGTGGCTCAGAAAATGATAGTGAAAATCACAGAAGCCAGAGCTCTTTCTAAACAAACACTGTGTGTCCCCAGAAACGACTCTGCACTTTTAACCTCGGGGTTTTTTTTTTTTTCCTCTTCTTTCTCATTCTAACCGGGAAGGAAGTGTATATATGCTGAGTGGGTGAATCTCCCAGACCCGGGCTCTGTGCTGAAGGGTGTGACTGCAGGATCTCAGCAAGCCACAGTCACCCAGAGGAACACCCTTGCTGCGAGCCTTGTTCTTGATTCCTTTCTCTCCTTCCCGCTTCACCTCTGAGGGGGCTCCTTCCAGGGAAAACTTCTCCCTTTTGCTAGTCAGAGGGGGTGAATCAGACTGGATGGATTCCCAGAGGTACTTCGGCGCTTTACCAAGATAAAACGAAAACTAGAAAGTGCACTGGAGCCGCTACCCCTTCCTGATGAACTTCAGTCCCACCAGCTGGGATGAGAAAACGCTGTCACATTCTCAAGGAGGACAGACACTCCAGCACCACCAGCCAAGCCCCCAAGATTACACTGGCACCAGCGCTGGCCACCCCCACCCCCAGCAGCACCTCCGGGGCTCCCTGGGGCCCTGGACGCTACTCACAGTACCTCTAGGCAAGGATGAGATGAGAAGGAGCTGCAGGAAAGTGAGCCCCAACTGCGTCCAGCAGCCCAGCTCCATCGTTCCTGCGCCGGTGCTTGAGCGACTGCTGGGGAGGGACGGAAGGGAGGCCCGGGGCAGGCGGCTCTTACAGGGACCTCCCTAAGCCCCAGCTGAGCGGGAGCTCGGGTTTCAGCTCGCCAGGCTCTCCCATCCTCATCCGAGGGGAACCACCTTCAGCCAGAGCGACGTCAGCCCAAACCTCTCCGCTCGCTGCTCAGCTGCCTTAACCCTTGCGGGGCCCTGGAGGTGTGGCCACGCTCAGGGACTCCGAGCGGCTGGAGGCCAGCCTGAGTCAGCTCAGCCTGGGCGCCAGGGCCGGGTTGGAGCGGGGGTGGGCGGTGCCGGGGGTGGGGAGGGTGGTTTGCTGCGGGAGAGCAGGTAGCACCCGGAAGGGGGCAAAGGTGGGCGGGGCTGCGGGGTAGCTCAGGTGAGGCCTGAAACCCCACCCCCACCCCACCAGCATCAGACAGGAACCCTGCCAGGACTACACTCTGAGTCTGATTAAGAATGTGGCCTTGGCCAGGAGAAAGGGAGCCAACCCCACCCCAGACTCCCCCCACCCTCCCCATCCCCTCCATCCCCAAGTTCTCCTTCCCCCTCAGCATCTGCTCCAGGTGATCACAATTTGAAGATCTCATCCTTTGCATCACAGGCATCTTCCCCTGATGCCCATCATGGTGTGTTTGGCAGCATAAACAGATCCTGTATGTGCCAGGCAGGGCATTAGGCTCAGGGATAAAAGAACACACAAGACCCTGCCTCCAAGAGCAGCAGTCTGTCTAGACACAGAGATGGCAAATGACATCTCGAATAAGGAGAAAGAACACTTATTAGATAATAGCTGATTTTCAAAATCAGTTTCTCTGTGCCAGGCATCTAAGTACCTTACATGGGTCAACTCATTTATTCCTCATAATAAGCCTATCATCTACACTTTACAGAGAGGGAAACTGAGTCGATGAGCATTCAATAGCTCATCCAAGGCCACGCCATGAGTAAGTGGTAGAGCCAGGGTTTGAACCCAGGTCCAAAGGCAGTAGTCCTGGCCATCAGGCTCTACCACTTCTTAGTTAGGATGCTGTGAATATGGCGTTCAGGCACCGCATGATGTCACCATGTACATGTACCATAGACGGTACTGTCCACATAGGATAAATGCAGACACCCAACCATCAGAGAGGAAGCGACTTGCTCAGGATCACTCAGCTGGAAGCCAAAGGGCAGGATTCACACCCAGCTCTGACTCAGGGGGTATTGGGGTTTCAGAGCATGCTTGGTCCCGGTCTGCACTCTCAGATGAAGAACCAAAGTTGGGAGAAGTGAGTGATCATTCAGGCCCAGGGCAGTGGGAGGTTTACCTGAACTGGGAAAGCTTCACCGGGGGCCTGAGGGACAGGTAGGCTCTCAATCCCGGGAGGGGCCTGGGGAGGCCTTTCTAGGAGGAAGGACTAAATTTGGCCAGTGCCCCTGGGAAATAATCAGTATTTACCTATGTATAGTACAATTTCATATTTATTCTTGTCTCCAAAGGATCCATGGCAATGTACACCATTAAAATACATTTTTAAACAGTTTTGATAAAAAATATATATATATATCAGTACCAGAACAAAAGCCAACTCAAGAGGATAGACAACGTGTGTAGTTTGGATGTGGCAGAGAGCAGGGAAAGAGGAAGGAAGTGGTTAGGGTGTTTGGATTTTATCGTGGAGCAAATGAGGGGCTCTGGCAGTTTAGGAGCTGGGGGTGCTGGGCCCAAGGCAAAGTTCTATGAAGAACAGTCACCTTGGCATCCAGACAGAGGGCTGGAGGAGGCCAAGGCTGGCACCAGGAGCACATCTGAGACTGTTGACAGAGACTCAGAGTAAACAGTAAGGATTGGAGTGGAAGGAAAAAATGATGGGAGAAACTTGGGGAGGGTAGAACCCCCAGGGCTCAGGCTAGACTGGATAGGCAGGGGCCTGGCCCAGGCACTCCTCTCACAGAGAAATTCCTAAATCCCAGTCCTGCTTCTGGGGCCCACAGCAGCAAAGTGACCATGAACAAGAACTCGGCAGTCAGAGGCCTGTGTTCAAAACTTTGATTCTCCTCTTTCTGACTCTATGCCAGTGAGATCATACAAAATACATGCTGGTCCCTGCCCTGAGCTCCTGGCACAGAGGTCCCGATGCCTTTGCATTTCCTGGGTGATATGAGTGTCTTTTGTCCTAAGGAGGCAACTTTGGGTGGGCTCCAGGATGAGGGCTGTTCACTAGAAAGATCAAGCCGTGATTCGAGGCTTGGAATTTTTAGTCCTACCCTCTGTTCTCTTGAGAAGGGAGAAAGGGCTGAAAATGGAATTAATGGTCCATCATGCCTACATGATGAAGCCACCAGAAAAATCCCAATGGTATGAGCTTTGGAGAGCTTCAACCATTTGGGGAGCACAGCCATGTACCAATAGGATGATGCACCCCAACTCCTGCACTTGGGACCCTCCCAGACCTTCCCTATATCTCTTCACCTAGCTGTTCGTTTGTATCCTTCATCATATCCTTTAAAAGACTGTAAATGTAAGAGCTTCCCAGAGTTCTGTGAGCCCTTCAAGCAATTATCAAATCTAAGGAGGAGGAGGTCATGTGACCCTCCAGATTTGTAGCCAAGTGGGACAGGAGCTGCGGGTAACTTGGGGACCTAGTACTTGTGGTTGACGTCTGAAGTGGGGGACAGTCTCGTGGAACTGAGCCCTTGACCTGTGGGATGTGGCACTCCCTCCGGGCAGTGTCAGAATTGAGTAAAATTATAGAACACCCAGCTGGTGTTACAGACTTGCATGGTGGGGGAAAAACCCACATAGGCCTGGAATGAGAAGTGTCCAAAATGAGTATGGCAGAAGTCCGAGAGTAGGGGATACACCCAGAAGAAGGAAAGGCAGGGGGTTGGGTGTTTTTTTTTTCCCCAATACAATGACCTAAACCAAGCCAACTGATTCTCTGAATCTCAGTTTTCTCATCTGTAAAATGGAAATAATCACCAAACTTTGTAGACAGGAGACTTTAAGGAGACTGTGTATATAAGGCCCTTATATAAGCCCTACCTGATACTAAATGCTTAGTAAATAGTAATCATTATCTGTTTTATGAGCCTGAATCGATACCAAGGAAATCCTATGGTATCACCTTCTTCCTCACCCTCAGCTTCCCTGTCCAGGTAAAATATGATTAAAACAAGCACCAGGGCACCTGGGTGGCTCAAGTCAGTTAGACATCCAAATTCAGCTCAGGTCATGATCTCACAGTTCCTGGGTTCGAGCCCTGTCTCAGGCTCTATGATGACAGCTCAGAGTCTGGAGCCTGCTTTGGATTCTGTGTCTCCATCTCTCTCTGCCCCTCCCACACCCCCCAAAAATAAACATTTCAAAAAAGTACTTTTTAAAAAGCACCAAAAAAAGCCTTAAAAGTGTGGGGAAATATCAAAGGGCATCATATCTACAGGGTGGTGGGCAGATGTGAGAAGAGGGGAAGTTCACTGTGTCACTGGTCAACCAGCCCTAGTCCTTTGATGATGAGACTGGGGAGGAGGTGACTTGGTTTCCAAGTAACTGTAGGTATCAGAGCCTCTAAAGAGTCTGTTTCTACCACCAGCTGACAGTACCACTTCCTTCTTCCTTCTTCCTGCATCTCCAACCTCCCCCTCCTCCCCTACACACACATTCACCCTCCCTGAGTTGATAACCCAGCAGCCTCACCTCTTCAGTAACTGTACCCCAAGCTGGCAGGACTCCAGGTGATGAACCTAAAGGAGTCCCTAGTGCCAGGCCTTTGCTCCTCCAGGCTTAGGAACCTGGAAACAGGCCCTCACTCCTCTTCCTCGAATGCCCACAGGAGTAATAGCTCCCTGCTAATTTGTTGTCTGATTTGGGTCTGCAAATTTCCCAGGGCTACGGAGTCTGGAAAGAAATTCTCAAAAAGAAGCAGGACATATTTCTCAGGGGAACTCAAAGCCATGCGTGATCCAGAATTTCCTTGTTGAACTTCACAATAAACCTGGGCTCATAGAGGGAGAGGGAAGCCATGACTATGATACAGAAAAGCTCAGTAGTTTGCCCGAGACTGCACAGCCCTACACAAGTTTTGATTTTCCTACACAAATTTAATTTCCTCTCTTCCCATTATAGTCAACTCAAGTTTTCATAGCGACAGAGTTCAGTACTGTCCTAAATCAGGGCTTCTTAACCTGGACCCCATGGTCTCTCTTAGGAGTGGGTCTTTGGGGGGGCCTTCAAACCTCCCCAAATTATATGCAAAATTTTGCATGCATCTTTTGGAGTAGGAGGGAGACATAGCCTTCTTCAAAGTCTCACGAGGATCTGCAAACTCCCAACTTATTTCAGAATCACTGGTATTCCTAAGTTGACATTGAAAAGTTGACAAAATATTTGCTGGATTTAGGGAAAGTGGTTTTGTGTGTACAATTGTTGAGTCTAAGCTACAAGCTGCATGGTGGGTATTTGAAGGACCAGCCTTCCCTTGCTTTCTGCCTTGATTTCTGCCTTAAAAGCCCTTGCTTTGGATCACAGTGGCTACCAGTGAGTTTGGCTAGAGCACTCACTACCCATGTACACCTGGGCAGTTCTCCCACCTACAATGGTCTTAGTTTCCTCATCTGTTAAGTGGAAAGAATAATGATATCTGCCCCAGAGGGTTGGAGTAAAGTGCTCGGCACAGTGCCGAAAAATACACCAGGCACGCGGTAAACGTTAGCTATTTTTATTACCGTTATCTCCTCCTGCCCTTATCTTCACACCCACTTCTGGCAGAAATAAATCACCAAAAAGGCGTGGGTGAAAAAGGCAAATTGCCATGCTGCAAGGTAGGCAATGATACCTGGAATTAAGAATTATCTACTTATAATCAGCACTCAGAAATCAACAATGGGCTGTAGTAGATGGAGTCAAGCCACCCACTTAATTACAAGTCACAACACCCACTAATTTTCACTTGAAAGGATGAAGCACTCTAGCAAAACCTGTACCTTTTTTAGTGCCTCCAGAGAGGCCGGTCACATGGGAAAACACAGGAAGAAACCCCAGGGAAGGCTGTCCTGTGAATGCCAACAGCTCTCCAGTCTCGGAGCTGTAACTTCGGATCAGCAGCAACCCTGCGGTGAGAAAGCTGGAGGGAAGACGGCCAGGGTGGAATGGTGTGCAGACCTGAGAGAATGAT